CAGTGGCGGCGCCAGGGGGGGGGCAAGGGGGGGCAAATGCCCCCCCCGCAAATTATTTTTTGCCCCCCCATTTTGCCCCCCTCAAAAAAAATTATTAGTCACTAAGAGCGACTAAAGGCTACACAAGCGTTCTGTCGTTATCGGAAAATGTATGGCTTATAAGTTGTCATTACTCATTAGTGAATGCGCGTATACATGAAACTGTTTTTTACAGTTTCAATATTTGTTTGTAAATCTCTGAATGGTAAAACTTGCCAATACTCCAATAATACGTTTCAAAAAAAGACAAAAAAAGCTTTAGTTTTGCAGAGTTAAATTCTCAAACGTGTAAGGCAATAATAAGATGAAAGTATCACGAAATTATTTGAATAAACCACATCGCATATATCGGGGCCAATGTCCTAAAGAGGGGCGATATTCCTAGGGTATTCGCCCCCGGGGGCGATATTCCTAGGAATATCGCCACGTTTTGAGGGGGGGGGGGCGAATTTCCTGGGGGGCGACCTTTTTAAAAATTCTATCTTGCCCCCCAAAATTTGAGTTTGCCCCTCAAATGCCCCCCCAAATTTGGAAGCCTGGCGCCGCCACTGGTTATTTTGAAATAATTTACTTATTGACGGACATTAAAAGGAGAGAACAACAGCTTTAGATGAAAATGTGGACTCATGCAGATATGTAGTCATAAATTTTCACACTCTATCTCAGTGTTTTGTTTTATTTCTACCTTGAAATAATGCTCAAGTTGTAATTTTTAAAAAGTTCTTAATTATGCTAATTGGGTCAGCTAATATTTTTCTTGGGCCTGAACCCTTTCAATCCTTGACCTCGAAATTTCACAAAGAAATAAAACAGACTTTTCCGGCTACATCTTGAACTAATTTAGAAAATCAGTACATGTTACTATGTACATGCTTGTCTTTGCTCTCAATTTGTGCCCACAATTTCTGATGGTGATATTTCGCATTAGGATAAAGACCTCGGTCCAGTACCAGGCGAAGTCTACTTTCTCAAGCAAATGAAATACCATCCAAATGTCATCAAGTTTCTGCATTATCAACAACTGACATCCGAAATGTTCGTGATCATTTGTGAAAGAATTGCTAACTGTAAAGATCTTTTTGATGTTCGAAAGGAAAGAGGCGGTTTCTTCACTGAGTATGAAACGCAAAAGTACGTTAAGACGTTGGTTGACGTTGTACGTGCGATGGAGAAAAAGAACATTATTCATCGTGACATTAAATTGGAGAATATTCTCTATGACGTCGAGAAAGATGATATCAAGTTGATTGATTTTGGCCTGGCAACGAAACATAAACCTGGCAAGCTATTTACCACATTTTGGGGTGAGTATATATATAATGCCATTAAGCATCATAAAACTTAGTGAACTTTAAACATCATTGTTTCGTTGGCATGATTTTACAGATAAGCATAAAGAACTGAAATTTTTGAATGCAGTCATAATTCATGACCAAGTGGTAATCGTCGGCTCGGTTGTTTTGTGTGCGTGTTACGTATAACATACAACAAAAACTTTCCGTATGCTTTTTATCGCAACCAAGGAAACAAAATCAATACAATATCAAAGCCGCACTACTAAAAATTGTCATTCGCCACCTTCTAATTTACATCTATGGTGAATAATATAGACGAGAAAAAATATCTCAATTCTCATTCGCTGAGAGTAGTGCAATACAGTGCAGAACAATAGGAGCATAGTGCACATTTCCTGGCTTTTTAAGTATTTTTATTGGATAACATAGCAAATTTTCAGGGAAAGTGTTT